TTCGATCCTGCGCACGCAAACTTCGCTTTTTTTACTTCGGAGCCACAGAAGAGATATAAGTTCTTGAAAGAATGAAATTTAAGTTCGTGCGCTGGTAGTTTTAATATCCGAAGCGAAGCGAAAAAAATAAAAATTTAGAAAACATAAAAAGCAAAATACAAAACAGCTTCCTTTCTGTAGTTGTGCTGTTCTATTAGTTAACACTCTACAGGGTGTCACAAAACAAATTTGCAAGTTTTTTTCACCGCAAAAATAAACTAGGCATCGCCGAACGCTCATTCTCCGCCCAAAGGTAGCACTGGAGGTCACAACCAGATGCCAAAGTTTCAGCCCGATTCGATAACCTAATCAAAAGTTAGAAGGGATTTTCAGAAAATTTCAATGGGGAAATGGCGGCCAACGGAGTTTGCGAATACATGGGGCTCTATGGCACCAGAAACAGAGAACGGGCAAAAACGGGCTCCATTTTCCCGTTAAAATTTTCAGAAAATCACTTATAACTTTTTATTAAGATATCAAATCGGGCTGAAACTTTGGCATCTGGCTGATACGTCCAGCGCTACCATTGGGTGGAAAAAGAGCGTTCTGCGATGCCTTGTTTATTTTTGCGGTGAAAAAACCCTGTAAATTTTTTTTTGTGACACTCTGTACATATTTTTCACTATTAGAAAATCTCTTCCTTCACCTAATCCTAAATGGACAATTTTTCTTCACATATAGCACAAAAAAAAATTTCTTACAAATAAAATTTTCTTTTTTAGGCTTAACAGTTTTGTGTTTAAGAGGTCTTAAAAGTTAGATGAATCCTTGCTCTTCAGGTGAGATATACAGCCAGGGGACCTATTACAGGGTGCTTAATCGGCACGATAAAACGGATAATTTACTGGCATTTGTTATTCACGTTTTAATTCGCGAAAATAAGCATAATTTCAACTAGAAACTTGTTGAGCGTCATCAAGAACCACTGAATCAGTAAATTTGGGGAATATTTTAAGCACGTGTGAAGCACGGTTCAGTGCGCCAAAGTTCCCACTCGTGCATCAAGTACAAAGCTGCCGTTGCGAAGGCGCGGATGCTAAGAGCGGGAGAACCTCGCGGGCGTGTTCTCCGACCCGCAACCTCGTGCCACTTGCGAGAGCGGTAACCTTACCGCAACACCGCTCTTCCCACGCGCTCCAAATCTTTGTAAAATTGACTGAATTAGCGGTTTTCGCTGAAGCCGATGACGCTCGGCAAGTTTATAATCCGAACCATATATTTGCCTTCGTAATTAAGAAGTTAATTAAAAATTTTATTTAAGTAATTACTTGTAACAATTAGTTTCATGTATATTGTCCCCCGAGCAGTATAACTCACCCGTAAAGGTAGTACTTTTAATGACTTATGTAAAAACTCTATCAGAAACCTGTGGCATTCTACAGCAGATTTGGAATCCTTGTTCCATAACTACATTAGGAATTCTTCTTGAACGCAAGTTGTGTATAGAAGTAAATATTCTAACATTCAGGCATTGCACTGCGTTTTTGTTTTAATTATTATGAGTAAAATGTTTATGTTTATATATCTTGTATTTCTTTCTTTTTACTTTTTCAACTACCATATTAATAATGATTCAAACAATCAAAACCTATGATATTCGTAAACATGCATAAATCTAGGACACCAGTAACTGTTTCAGCGAATAAATGGGGCTGCAGCAAGTGCGCATAAATCGGAGTTTTCGTGTGGTATGAAGGTGGAACAAAAAAAAATCACGCACAGGACAATTTAAAAAGGACACTAAACTGATAACATTTTTAAGCGTCCAATCGAAACACGTGCCACAAAAAAAGATTTAAAAAATACACATTTTAGTGCAACAGTCACATTACAAACCTTATTTTGGTTTAGAAGCAATCCTAAACGCGATTTATGTGGTTTTCTTTTCTTCGTTTTTTTGCGGGGGTAGGGGGGAGGGGTTATTTTGTAACATATGTGTCCTCCACAGGCTCTTATAAAATATTTCTGTGGCTTCAGCGTCCATTTAACGTTCTCGGTTCCTATGAAACTGTATATTCACATCAAAGGAAAAAGCCAACTTACATAGCCTGATGTAATGCATAAGCTCTACCACTGTGCAAACGTAAATATTATCAAAAGAACATTCAAAGTGGAATCGTGTTACGTAATTATCAAAATGGGAATACCACAGACCAAGAAAACACAGGCATAGGAATAGTGCACACCTAGAATCATGGAAGGAAATATTATCCGGCTAGCGTATTCAGAAAAGCTGGTCAAGTAAGTAAACAGGTGAATTTCGGCACTTTGATTGGCGCGTTTTCGTGAGCGTTCCATCGCATTGTTTCCGGGGGAAGGAGTGTGTGTGTATGTGTGTAAAAGGGGGGGGGGGGGCTTCCCAGATTTGCTTAAACAAATCTGGGAGCCACCTAAACGCTAGCGCGTGAGTCACTGGGGCGTGTTTACGCCTTGACCCCTCCCTTCTCCTATCTCTTCTCCCATGCCGAGTGACGCCCATGAAAGCACGCCAGTCAGACAGCCGAAATTAGCCCATTGACTTACTTCACAAGAGTTTTTTTTTTCGGATACGCCTCTGATTACTTGTTAGCCATGCTGGCGACCAGGTGGGATTTGGCGATGTTCTTGAAAACTTGCGATCTCGAGGCGATCGTCCCTATAGGTAGGCTGCCTATCTGCTGCTGGGTATTTAAGCTATTCTCCGAACAACGAGCCCTTCTGAAAAGAACATTTTGAAAGGATCATAGTTTTTCAAATAAAATAGCCAGATACACTTTATTTCTTTTTCTTTTGGATCACCCTTTGTTGCCACGTATTTGAAGTACAATCCCGTTTTTTTTCTCAACTTTTCCAAGGAATTTTTACTTAAGTACATTCCCCCCTCCTCCTTTTTATACGTGCAGTCATTCTTGCTGTACACTATAGGTAATGAGAGCTTATTGCTTCGTATTCGTTTTTGGGAGTTCTTCACACAGCGTATGGCAAATTTTCTTTGAGTACGGTGTGATTCTGAGATGCTCAGGAGGGTCCAGGCTCAGCGGTACTTAAACTGTTAATGACCACGACAATTGTTTTTCGGCCCAGCAGTTATGATTCACTCCCATGCTAGGTGCATATGTTTTTGCGGATTTCGTTACATGCGACTTCAAACATTGTTTCTTTTTTTGCCGTTGCTATGCCTTGCCTATTATAAGCGCAGGACGACAGAGGCACAAGGTCGGAAATCTTGCGCCCGCTGGAGTCTGCGATGAACTCAGCTCATATACAGTATGTTTTGTTTTAATAAACGAAAACCGCGAACAGTGCGCCCCACCCACATGTGGCACGAAACAATTCAATGTTGATGTCGCACACGCTTTCGACTTTCGTTACATTTCTGCACGGCAACTGTCTTTTTGTTTTCCTTTTTATGACGAACGACCGGATGCAGCTCATAAATATACGTTTCGCGTGGACAGACTGAAACAACTATTCTGCTCAGCCAAACTAAAACGCTTCCCGGTCTCGAAGTAGGCATGCTCGAATTTTTTTTACGGGCTATTTTCCTTGTCGAAAGGTTGTTTCGTGGAGACTGGGGAAAAAAAAACGCACAAATTGATGTACGTTTTGAAAATGGTGTATCGGTTTCAGGCAACATATGGCAAGATACAGGGTTCGCCTACTCATTGTTCACAGTGCTCAGAGTCTGTTTGCCAAACAGCGGACCTGCCAACTCACATTACGTTTTCCCCATTCAATCCGTGGCACGAGGAGTCTTTTTAACTGTCTCTCTAGTGGGGAAGCTGAACGCATGCAGGTGTGTTGCCTTCAAACCGCTCAGTGCGCAAACAACATGTGCCCACTCAAGGTAGGGGTGTATAAAGGCTCTATGTAGGGTTTGGTTTCATTCTACCTGTTGCACACTATCCTTGGAAGCTATATTGCAGAACACATGAGCACGTTGTTAAGTAATCATGGAAAGGTAGAGTTGAAATCACGTATTTTTCTTCCATCGTGGGTGCAGCAGTAAAATCCAAATGGGCACTTTATACCACGTCTACGTGTCAGATTGTGCTAGTGGACCAATCGTAAGACGTTCATTACTGCTCAGGACAGTATTTAATATATTCTAGTGATAAACAGCTATGCAAACGATAATCCAGTAATTGACCAATACGAGTAATGGCAATAAAAATCAATATTATACGGTTCTAAGCCGGTCATATAATTTTAAGGCAAATAAATCATTCAGTTAGTTTAACTATTTCATAAATTCGCACAGAAAAAAAAACGAAACGTATTTTTTATTAGAATGCAGAAGATTAAAGAGGCACGTCTTACTACGCCTAAAAAACTCGCAGCACACTGGCGACTTTTGAAAGAAGAAAGCAAAGTAAGGAGGTGCAGTACAAAATTTTTGGAGGATCGTAAAAATAACTTTGAGTTGTATGAGTTGGTACCAATGTAGGTTTACTTGTTTTATTCTTATTTATAAGATGTATCGCTAATTATTGGTTGGTATAGCCAATCTCTTTCTACGTTTCAATCAATATTCGTAGAAATAATTTTTGCCATCTCAAGACATCTATCATTTTTATCAAAAATTTGAATCAGCATGTTTACGGGCGCTTACGCGGTGCATTTTTTTAAGGCATCAGAAAATCATCTAGTTTGTAGTTTTATTTGCTTGTATGTATAGCACCACACTGTAGCCGCACGATCTTCGGGGCCTAAGTTAATTATAAAAGGTTTACAGAAATGTTATGATCACAAAAATACACTTTACAATAAAAAGAGAAAAAGTTGAATGTTAAAGGGAGAGGGCCAAGCATTAGTTTTGTCGCAATATTTGAACATTATCTAGTTCACGTTCAGCACTCGTCCGTAAAGCTTCAAGGGATCACAGATCCTCTCTTCGCACAATAGTATTAGGAGTATATGACAAGAGGTCAAAACAATGTCTCAACCCCCTAAAGAAACATTTTGGAAACTCTGCCACTCACCTTTCGCTTGTTCCGGATAATGTTGGAGTCTCGCACCGTCTCCGCATTGCCGGGAGTGCTCGAAGTCCGCAGGGCCCTGCCGATCCGGCCGTACGTGTAGCAGATCACGCACAACGGGAGGAAGTACTGCAGGCCGACCAGCACGTGGTTATACACCTTCCAGGCGAACGGGGGCAGCACCACGTTGATGCAGAAGGGCCGGGACACGTCTCCCGAGCGACTGTCGTACACCAGGATAACGCGGAGCGCCAGGGCGTACGGCAGGGCCGCAGCCGTGGACACCGCCCAGACGATGCTGATGAGCACCTTGGCGTTAAACTTGGAACAACACCGGGCGCGCAACGGCGCCGTCACCGCCCGGTAGCGGTCTAGCGCGATGGCCGTCAGCGTGAATATGGAGACGTTCACCGATAGCACCTGGACGAAGGGGCAGAAGGCGCACATGAACTCCGGCAGCACCCAGCGCTGCAGGAGCGCCGCCTGGAACTGGAACGGGATAGAGAAGAGGCCGATGACGATGTCCGCCACGGCCAAGTTGGCGATGAAGAAGTTGGTCACCGTCTGCATCCGCCGCGACGTGGCCACGATCCAGAGGACCATGGAGTTTCCAGCCACGGCCACTAAAGATATTAGGCCGTAGCAGAAGGACAGGAGCACGATGATCTCTACGGGCACTTGGTATAACTCGTCGTCGTCGATGGTCCCGTTGTAAGGGACCGTCATGTTGGGCCGCGCCAGGGAGGACTGGTTCACGTCTTCGTTCATGACGGCGCTGGGGCACGGCGAGGAAGCGGCGGCGTGCGTCCGGACGACGCGGGAGCTGGCGCGCGTGTGAGGTCGATGCGGGGCGCGAACCGCGGCGCGGCTCTCGTGCCACGTGACGCCGCTGCGAGGGGAGGCGGTTGCGGCCGGAGTCGCAGCCCCCGGGTGACGAAGAGCCCGTGTCGGCCGTTCGCTGCCCGAAGGGGAAAGCGAGTCCTCGGTTCTCCTCGGAGAGCGCTTCTTCTCTCCTGTTTTGCTCGGAGCTATAGCTCGCTTTCTTTCTGCCGACATTGAATCAAAGGTCACCGATATGATCAACTTGGATCATTTTTCTGTCTTTATCGCGAGTGTAATATTCTACAAAAGTTGGGACAACGTAAACTGGTTACAAATGATTAAATATATAAAAAAAAGTATTGATCAAAAGTAAAACAAATTTATTTTACTGATTTCCTGTGATTTTGCCGTAGCCATCTCTTACGAACTAGTCGCTAAGAATGAATTCTAGGATACACGCAAAGCACGCCCTATGATCAGTCTGCAACTAATATTCCAAAAGGATGCTAGTATATCATCATCATGTATGTTATCTGATAATGTATATTTTGCTCTAGATACACAGAACTTAAAATTAAAAAAAATAAAACATAAAACAATTAAGACGTTTACAAATCTCTGTAACAAGGAATTAGAGTGCAGCTCTTAAGGAGGACGAGAGGAGGGTACGGAGGGGAGGGTATGCCCCTCCTCCTCCTTCGCACCCTCTCCTCCTTTTCTGCTCCTCCTTCTCCCCTCTTTCTCCTCCTCTCCCCTTCTCCTACTCCTCCACTCCTCCTCCTCCACTCCTCATTCTCTTCCTCCGGAGAAACTGAATTTGTCCATAGGTGACTTGACACCAAGTCAAATGACATTATTTTCCCCACGAAATTTACAGTTACCGGGGAAACTGAATTGGTGTTGAGGTTAAATGACATCAATGTTCCCGCTAAATTCAGAGGGAAATTGAATTGGTGTTGAGGTCACGTGACGTCAATTTTCCCGCTAAATCTAGGGGAGAGACTGAATTTTTTCAGAGGTGACGTGACACCGAGTCACGTGACGTCAATTTTCCCTCTAATTTTAGCGGGGAATTGAATTGCTGTTGGTCATGTGACGTTGATTTTCGAGTAAATTTAGCTCGGTTACGCGGACGCCGATGGCGACGCGAACGCTACGACACCCGGAAACGAGCGCCCAAGAGCTACGCTCTAAAATACCTTCGACCAACGTTGGACCAACTGGTTGTTCCTACGAGGCTGCAGAACTGCACGATGAACGCAATAAAATCAAATAAAACAATTAAGAAATGAAGACCTCATGTAAGTTCCTAGTCATAGTGGTTCTATAGTTTTATTAGATATAGCTTTATGAACACGTAATATTTTTTTTCGATTCTGTTGAAGTGATTGTTTAAAAGTGACTTCCTTTGTGTGTTTGACCAGCTTCCCATTCCCTTGTCACGGGAGACCAAAAGGCCTCTTCCGCCCGCAGTCACAATAAGCAAAAAACATGTTGAACCCTATCCGTCCCCGTTGTTCTTAAAAAAAAAATTTCTTTTTTCCATAGGGACAGTTTAAGGTATGTGTAGACGAAAAAAGAAAAACTCTTCGATTGAAAGTTACACGGGGCTGGAATGGAGCATACAATCCAGGCACGCAATAGGTTTGCTGGCCTTTTTTTATGCTTTTTTTTTGTTTTTGTTTCTTTTGTTTCGTTAAATAACGTGGAAAGGGGAGTAAGGCCAGCCTCTAACAGTTGTTCACCAAATACCCGCAATATAAAAAAAAAAGAACCGCCTGAGAGTTTTAACGCAATGAATGTGATAGCACTAATAAATAGTTCCTACCCTCGTACGCAGCTTCATTTCTAAGCATCGAAGAGAGGGGGGAGAAAGACGAATATATCGGCCCACCACTTACTCCCCTTTTCCTTTCCAGGTCACTATTTGCCCGCGCTATGACGTCAAACCAACAACTCCGCTCGATTTCTTACACTCTGCTCCATGGCTTCGTCGCGACGATGCGACAAACACCAGCAAAAGCAAGCAAAGTCCGTTGCAAGGTGCTCATATAAAGCCACCACTTTTAAAACATTTTGTGGCGAATTTCTGATGAAGACCCTCTCAAAATAACCGTATTGTGTTCCTGGTATCCTCTTCTAACGAGCGCTGGACGTAGACCATCGCGTCGCGTTCAATCTAGCGCTATTCTCGAATCACGTTTAAAAATTTAATGAAGACTCTCGTTTGGCTTCCAGGAAGGAAGAAAAACAAAAACAAAAAACAGAGGCGCCCATTTGGTAATGATAACCGGTGTGCTTGCTGACGACTATTCATTACCCGGCGCCCACTCTTTTCTTTTTTTCCAGCGGGATGTGCTCGAGAAGGTCAATTCCGCCATCACAAATTTAAGAGTTTCGGATTTTTTTCAGCCGTATTCTTGCTGTCGTGTTTAACGGTATAACAATTCCAATATGGCGTCTTATGCTAGTTTACGTTTTGTTTTTGTCCTCTCTGGTAGAGCCAAACGCGAATTTCTTCATATGTTTTGTTTTTCCAAAGTTTTGAGAACAAGAAAAACGCTGTAGTTGTTTGTTTGAAGTAGAAAATAAGCAAAACATCAACGCACTGCAGCGTGCTTCTCGTATACTTGGTTTGGTACGAGTTGGGCACTGCGCTTATTTCGCAAGAGATTTCCGATTTTTTTTTTTTTTTTTTTTCATTGCGTAAGCTTGGTTACACGAAAACATCCACAGCTATGACGCCTGGCGTATTTTTTTCCTGAGTAGAGGAATTCAACTTTTTATGGTAGACTGCGGATTCCTTTTGATAAGTTTCGGATTGTGTGTGTGCCCGCGTGGCTAGATTGCTTGACACAAGAGACATTAAGTGATTTAAATATCCGATATATTATTATCAATAAAAAAAGAAAAACGCCAGAGTTTTAGTTTCGACTGTCTCCCATGTGGAGTATACTTTAGTTGTGCCTGACAATGATCACGCTGATACACAAAATCCGATCACATTTTCTCACGCCTTGATCAAGCACCTTGTTTGACAAAGTTCATATTATGCCTGTACTTTATACTTTATACTTTATCAACTGCTATTTTAATGTGTAAATTTCTGGTTTGTTTTCCAAATCGTAAAAGAAAAATATTACAGGCACGCAGGATGCATCCTTGTATGAAGAGGTCATAAGTTGTTACATTGGTAAATCGGGAAGAGTCATGAACTATAAATTGAGTGATTTTGTTTTGTATTGATGCTATATTATATTTCAGATATGATTGGTGTGGATGCCAAACGATAGATGCATACTCCAGTTGAGGTCTCACAAAGTGCAGTGAACGCAGTTAGTTTTGTTTTCGTGTTTACCTGGAAAAAAGTTCTTTTGAGGAAGCCTTTTTTGAGAGACTTTTTAGTGTTGTGTCGTTTACCCGCAGTCTCGGGTTTTTTTCAACCATGTGCCATATTTTCGAAGTTTTATTGGTAATATGTCGAGTGTAAGGTTTCCACGTAAGGTCAGATGCAAGATGAACGCCAACATGTTTAAGTAATGACACATTTTCAATAGGATCATTTTCGATTAAGTATATATGTAGAGTGGAATGTCTTTTTTGTGGTGGATGGTGTAGCTTTCGCTTTTGTCGGTATTTAATTTTATGAACCATGCGGGCGCACTAATATGTAATAATGTAAACGTCACCCTGCAAACTTTTATAACTAAGAGGACCCGTAATTGTACGATAAATGAGACACTTATCTGCAGCCAGACAAGTTCAAAACTGAATGTTAGAATGAAGGCGGTTTATATATATATATATATCAGAAAAAGCACAGGACCAAGCACCGATCGCTGCGCAAAACCGGACGTCACACGAATGGAGGAGGAAAGAGCTCGACCATTTATAACATACTGGCGTCTGTCAGTTAAGGAGTTTTTGATCCATTTAACAGCGAAAGTGGATAACCTATATTTAATCAGTTTATGTATTAGGCGGTGATGAGGAACGCGATCGAAAGCGTTGGCAAAATCAATAAATATAGCATCAATGGGCTTGAACGAGTTAACGTAATTGTGTAGCTCAGAGACTATCTGGAACAAGTGCGTCTCGCACAAACGTTCACGCAAAAAAAAGAGTGCTAGTTAATGCAGACGATAAGATGATAAGGTGGTCATGATTTGAGGCAATGCAATGTGTTCTAGAAGCTTACGTGGAACACAGGTGAAAAAAATGGGTTTGTAAATATTAAATACGTGTTTATCTTCCGCTTGGTAATTTACCCGTGGAGGCTTCCCAGTGGAGGGTCAAATATTTGTTTGATTAGTATTAATAGCTAGGTAGAAACGCCATCCAGGGCCGGACTAGAGTTAGTAGGCAGGCGGTCGATAACACATTTAACCCCATGAATAGAAATTCCTATTCAATTTATATTGTTGTCTACTAACATGTGTATGCAGTTGAAACTAAAAGCTCTTTATTAAATACATTCCAAAAAAAAGGAGAACAAAAAACTCGTTGAATTGATCCGCCAATTCAGGATCATCAAGCAAGGGACCACCGGTACCAGAGCACAGAATTACATCAGCAACGTTTTGGGTTTAGTACCCTCCAAAACGTTTTCGGATCTGTCCGCAACATATTTAAAACACCAACATAAAAAAACTGCTTGGATTTTATCATTTATTCTTTTGAAACCTGGACATGAGCATGGAAGGACGCCTAGTGCTCTTTCTTATTTCTGTTCTTCGTACGTCTATCTAAACTCTTCTTTTTCATGATACTTCGTTTTATTTTAGTTGAAAACCCTAGCGAACCTGCACAAGGTACACTTTTTTCTACCGGGATGCCGGTAGCTTGGCGTTCGTATAGTCTGTTCCAAAGTAGAACCCAATTCTCATTCACAGAACGCTCATCGAAACCACTTAAGAACGATCTAGAAAACTCAAACAATCTGTACATCAGAGACTCCATATCTGCTCCCTTATAATAAAAGATTTGTTTTCCTAAGAAGTCAACGAGCGAAGAG